ACTTATGGAGAACCAATGCTGAACTAAGATCCTGAGAATTTTCAAAGCGTTATCGTCGCGGACACTCAAATGATGACTTTGAGCAATAAAGAGCATAGAATGAAACCTTCTCTTCATTCATTCTATTCGAGGAAGCAGAATTTTGAGTGTATCCTAAAAAGTTGTTCATTTTATTGCGTCTGATACACCTTAGAATTCTAACTGACTTCACTTCGATTTGCACTGGAACTAATGTGAGTCGAGACATAGCTTCGCAGTCACCTTCACTGAATGACTTGAACTGTCGTAATTTTCGTTGACTTCATCATCATTATGGATTGGATTGCTTCTGAGTTGCTTTTATTGCTATGGTAGTTATTTCTAAACATAATTTTGATTCTGTACTGATCATGAAAGGGCATTTAAAAAGGTCGAGTTGGCGAAAACCTGAATTACTCTGTTTTAGATCAGGTTTTTCTGACCTGAGGTTGAATCACTGTGGGTTGACTTAGCTGGCATAACATGAATCAATGTTGAAAATAGGTGACTGCAATTCAGTATAACTCACGATGAATTGAATTAAGTTTGACAGATTTTGAAAACATGTGAGTTGCAGAAAACTTGAAGTGAGTCAACATGGGTTTCATTCAACACTGACTTCGCTCGAATGAGTTACAATAAGTCTGATACCGACCTGAGTCCAACTTCACCTCGCCTATTTTACCTTGCGTTCACCTTATCTCCGAATAGTGTTCAAGTTGACTCCGATGTTGATTTGCTTCTTTTACGTTCGGTTATTTCGCTTACTGCCGTTATCTTTTTCATACGTTATTCAACTGTCCAACTTCATGCACTACGAATGAGTTGTATCCTTACAAGGTACTTTTCGTTCAACTTAGGGCACTAATTAATGAGCCGTGGTTGAATGACCACATCTTCACTACTTACTTTTATTTGCTTGAACCTAGGGAAAATGGAATAAAATTGAGTTGTGATCAGTGATCACTTTTTGTTTTCATCTGATTTGTTTATGATTGATTATTTTGCTTGTGAATTTAACTGCATTTGTATTATTATGAATGTCTAACCGTTGGGAGCAACGTATTAATGACTGATTTTAAAGCACAGTTTTATATCACCAGATGCGCCTTCAGAATTGAATCCAAATGTGTAGTCACTGAATAATGATGCTAGCCTATGAGAGTCCGGGAAGCCGAAGTTAGAGTAAATTATCAAGATTTTTTTAATAGCATTGATTGCGGTGATCACTGATGAAAAACGGTCGGCCGAACCGATTATAACAGCGATCCGTCGTAGCTGTTGTAGTTGTTGTTGTAGGATTCGACGAGTTGTTCAGTGCCAACTCTATGAAGTTTTTAATGTTCTTTCGCATCGTGTTCACCACAGATTGCTTGAGGTTAACCAGATGTTCTTGTCCAAAACACCACTTGTACACGTGTTCACATCTGCGACTGGACGGACACGGGTTTGGTATGACGAGCCGACTGCATCCAATCCTGCATACTTCTTTCTCGTACCGACGACAGACTACCGAGGACACTGAAATTCAAATAATCTGTCAATTATTTTAAATCTCGCTATTAGTTGCGTTTTTTTGTCCGGACAGAAGTTACTTAGAAACATGGAAAATCTCGTTACTTAGAAAATGGAAAGTGTAACGGGCGTGAATGAAAGGACTTGTCACATCTGAGTGGTGAATTACCTAGATAATTTGCTGGTGTTGCAGTAGTTGAGGGTCCTGAAAATAGCAAACAATCGAAGTTTACCAACTAAAAACATTCCCATTATAAATCTCCTCAGCTTCCTTCTACATTCAGCATTGGAGCGTGTCTCCATCTAACGATTGTCACTAACTCATCACAGTAGGTCATTTGAGTTGACATTGGAACATTGAAATGGGAATAAAATCTTACCAGCATCCCTCGGATCCGTCGTGGTTGCCGCAGTTGTCGTTGTAGGATCCGATGAATTGTTCATCGCCAACCCCGTGACGTTTTTAATGTTCTTTCGCATCGTGTTCACTACCAGTTGCTTGAGGCTAGCCCGGAAGTCTTCTTGACAACGTCGTAAACACCGCTTGTACACGTCTTCACATTTGCGAGTGGACGAACACGGGTTTGCTCTGACAATCCGGTCGCATGCAATCCTACATACTTCTTCCTCGTTCCGACGACAGACTGTCGAGGACACTGAAGTTCAAATGAACAGTCAATTATTTTAAATCCTGCTGTTAGTTGCGTTTTCTCGTCCAGACAGAAGTTGTTTCGTTACTTAGAAAGTGGAAAGTGTAACGGGCGTGAATGAAAGGACTTGTCACATCTGAGTGGTGCATTACCTATATAATTTGATGGTGTCGCAGTAGTTGAGGGTCCTGAAAATAGCAAACAGTCAAAGTTTATCAATTAAAAAGATCCCCATTATAAATCTCCTCAACTTCCTTCTACATTCAGCATTGGAACGTGTCTCCATCTAATGATTGTCACTGACTCGTCACAGTACGTAATCTGAGTTGACATTGGAACATTGAAATGGGGAATAAAATCTTACCAGCATCCCTCGGATCCGTCGTGGCTGCCGCAATTGTCGTTGTAGGATCCGATGAATTGTTCGCCACCAACTCCACGTTTTTAATGTTGTTTCGCATTGTGTTCACATTGAATCGCTTGATGCTAGCCAGATGTCTTTGACTACGTCGTAAACACCACTTGTACACGTCTTCACATTTGCGAGTGGACGAACACGGGTTTGCTCTGACAATCTGGTCGCATCCAAACATGCATACTTCTTGCTCGTACCGACGACAGTCTATCGAGGACACTGAAGTTCAAATGAACTGTCAATTATTTTAAATCCTGCTGTTAGCTGCGTTTTCTCGTCCAGACAGAAGTTGTTTCGTTACTTAGAAAGTGGAAAGTGTAACGGGTGTGAATGAAAGGACTTGTCACATCTGAGTGGTGCATTACCTATATAATTTGATGGTGTCGCAGTAGTTGAGGGTCCTGAAAATAGCAAACAATCGAAGTTTATCAATTAAAAACATCCCCATTATAAATCTCCTCAACTTCCTTCTACATTCAGCATTGGAGCGTGTCTCCATCTACTGATTGTCACTGACTCATCACAGGACGTCATTTGAGTTGACATTGGAACATTGAAATGGGGAATAAAATCTTACCAGCATCCCTCGGATCCGTCGTGGTTGCCGCAATTGTCGTAGTAGGATCCGATGAATTGTTCGCCACCAACTCCACGACGTTTTTAATGTTGTTTCGCATTGTGTTCACATTCAATCGCTTGATGCTAGCCTGATGTTCTTGACTACGTTGTAAACACCACTCGTACACGTCTTCACATTTGCGAGTGGACGAACACGGGTTTGCTCTGACAATCTGGTCGCATCCAAACATGCATACTTCTTCCTCGTACCGACGACAGATTATCGAGGACACTGAAGTTCAAATGAACTGTCAATTATCTCAAATCCCGCTATTAGTTGCGTTTTTTCGTTCGGACATAAGTTGTTTCGTTACTTAGAAAATGGAAAGTGTAACGGGCGTGAATGAAAAGACTTGTCACATCTGAGTGGTGAATTACCTAGATACTTTGATGGTGTCGCAGTAGTTGAGGGTCCTGAAAATAGCAAACAATCAAAGTTTATCAATTAAAAACATCCCCATTATAAATCTCCTCAGCTTCCTTCTACATTCAGCATTGGAACGTGTCTGCATCTAACGATTGTCACTGACTCAGATGAGATCAAGAAAACGTCATCTGAGTTGACACTAATAATCATTAGTTGATGGAGCAATTATAAGACAGAATTTGATGATTACCAATAAATGAGTGAAGAGCAACCACTGAGAGTATGAAGCACCACATCGCGACCGCTGAAGTTACGTTTGTGACAATGTGCAAATCTTCAGAAGTATTTAAACTATATGCAACGAAATTTTTTCACCACGTCCACATTGGTGTTGTACATCAATGTTGCTGTATTCAACAACGCTATCGGTGTCAATATTATTGTTAACAATACAGCACCACAAACGCGATATCAGATTATTTCGTGGTGTGGCTTGACTCTCGTTTGGTGTTATCGATACTAATTTGTTTACGAGTAAAATGGAATATTTTATGAAGCGTGTGATGCGGTTTATGCAGATCTCTGATCAAACGGACATAATCCTTAACCGAATATTCTCTCGTGATTGGGATTCAGGATTTGGTGAATAGTTACTTGACAACATCTCTCTTGTGTGCAGTGATAGATTCTGCTAAAATATCTGTGGCAATAACAAAACTGTTATATCACTCAAAGACCATGATTATGGGAATGATGAGCATAACGAAATCTAAATATTAAGCGTATTTCAAGTGAATGTGCACAATTATGCAAATCCTATAGCCCAATAAAATTTTCAAGTGGATGTGATGATATTCTGAACTTGATGTGCTCTCAGCCTATGTCAAGTTGTAAGCTACGGTGAAAAGAACGAAGAGATCGACAAGGTGTTTGTAATCAACAAGGTTTTATTTTTGTAAAGCACGTAGTATTATGAAATTTGAAGAGTTATCATTGAACACAGAATAATTGAACCATCGAAACTGAAAATGAAGAACATTCCGAAAGAAATCGTTTGTAGTGCCATTATATGTCAGCGATATGAACTTCCTTTCCAAAAACTCCTGAAGAGGCCAAAGTGACTGGACCATTGCTGGCGGGTTCACAGCACACCTTAATATCAGCAACGTTTGATTCACTCAATATCTCTGAGCGTTATTCCAACATCAAAAGCTTCATGCAGCAAATGACGCAGTTGTGCAGTTATCAGTAACACATCACGTCTCAGTTGCTTAAAGGTTTTTCTGTGAATTTATTATGGAATTAATGTTCACCACCAACTGCTTGGAGATACTCTGAAACTCACTTCGATTCTGTTGTAAACACCTTTTGCACTTGTGATAACATGGGCGACTGCAATACCCTTCTCTGTAGCATGCATTCTGATATAGTTGCATTCTGTTAAGACAATATTCGGGACCTGAAAGTCAGATGGACTGTTAATTATTCTAAATCCTTCTATTAGTTACGAATTTCCGTCCCAAGAGAAGCGCTTTTGTTACTTAGAAAATGGAGAATGGAACGGACGTGAATGAAAGTATTGTCACATCTAACCAATGCATTACCTCGATCAGTTGTCGTTGTCACAGTTGTTGAAGGACCTGAAAACAACAGAAAGTCGAAGTTGAAGATCTCATTTGAGTTAATTAAGACAGAAAGACCGTCCGTATCGCAAAAACATCTCTACTGACAAATCTCTTCAGCTTCTTTGTAGACCCGGTGTTGTAGATTCAATCCCTTTGACCTTGACTTGTGATGTTAGGAGTTTAAAAGCATAACGCAACTCTGGTAAGGTGAAAACCGTTGTAACGGAATCCGAGGGTTCAGTTATAAAATTCTTGTTGAGGATACACCCGAAATTCACCTTGACTCTATAGTGAACAGTGCTTGCACATCTCTCGACATTCCTGACCGGACAAACATGGATTCGGTGTGACAATCGAGTAGCATCCACTCCTGTATGCTTTCTGTACGAACCAACAACAGTATTGGGGATCTGGAATTCAGATGCGCCGTTAATTATTCTAGATTTTCCCATTATTCTCCAGGTTTTCGTCCCAAGAAACGTGCTAGCATACCTTAAAAAGAGAAGTGCTAACATACCTTATCGTTTCCACATTGGTGTTGTACATCAGTATTGCCGTATTCAACATTACTATCAGTGTCAATATTATTGTTAACAATACAGCACCACAAACGCGATATCAGATTATTTCGCGGTGTGGCTTAAGTGTCGCTTAACGTTGTTGATACCAGTTTGTTTACGAGTAAAATGGAATATTTTATGTGGCGCATGATATGGTTTGGGTGGATTTTTGAACAAACACACATAATCCTCAACATAATATTCTCCCTTGATTGGGATTACGAAGTGAATAGTTACTTGACAACATCACTCTTGTGTGCAGTGATAGATTTTGCTGAAATATCTGTGGCTATATCTATGATGTTGCTGCAATTTTGTGGGAATATCTATCGCATCACCAAGTGATAAGGGTTACGAGAATGATGAGTATATTATTGTAGTGCGGAAGACGGCAAATTTCAGAGATCCCTTCCCCATTTCCTTATGCTCGTGCCCATCTCCAAATTTTTCTGACCCGATCATATTTTCAGAGTTTTCAATAATGCAGTCAGCTGTCTTATCGACATAATTCGTCTGATCGGGTCAGCAGTAAG